AAAATTACCTAACTATCTTATTACCTGAAGTTAAGTCAGTTCTCCTGACAGACTGCTCAGGTTTCAGGTGCTTGCTTGAATGTGTTGCTCCATTTCAGTTTCTGTTCACCTTTACTGGGGCAGGAAACTGAAGCACAAGGAGTGTTGTAATCACCACAAGGTTGTTGTCACTGGATGAGTACTCTGAAAAAATGGAACCGTTTTGGCAGAGTGCAGGAGAACTCCTGGCTCTGTCCCCTGCTGGTATTCCAAAGTGAATTTGAAACTAGTTCTCCTTTTGACAGTTTCTCGGTAGTGGAACAAGGTTAAAAGTAGATTCCCAGAATCCCATCGTGTGCTCTCTGCAGTGTGACAATTGTCCATGGCTGGAAAACAGCACTGGATTAGCTGTCCATGCATCGAGGGGATGCCCTAAGCTCCAGGCTACTGAACAAAAAGAGAACCACTATTAATTTGCCAGCTCTAGTGGTTTAATTGTCGTACAAAGATGTGGTTTTTCTGTACTGAATGCCTTATTTTGTGTGCTACAGAATTTTTTTTTCACTCAGCAAAAGTTAGTAAATCACTTTGGATTCTTTTTACACTTGGGGGCAGGGGAAGGCAAGCCAGGCAAACTTGTGTTAAGTCTGTCTATAGTTAAACCTGGCTTGGGGGTGCAGGATAAAATAGATGACTTGTGAGGGTATTCTTCCAAATCTGTTTTTAGGATACCTACTAACCATCAACCTACATTTGCAGCAAGTAACTTCTGTGGCTTTGGAATGTTCAAGAAATTGGTCACCTGGCAATCTCTGGTCACTGTAGGGTTTTGGTCTTCCAGGCTATCTACTAGCATTCAGTTATCCTCAGTGTTACAACCTTTTGTCTACTCTTTGCAGAAGTCCCCCGCCTTGCAATTTAAATCCTTTTCTTTTAGCCATTTTCACAGAAAACAAGCTTTTCCCTTGCTTCTGTTATCCACGTTTCCTGTCAGAAAGCAGCAGTTGTGTGTTCCCCTAGAAGTGTGTCTCCTAGACAGAAGGTCTGGACCTAGCTGTTTCTCCAGACTGTATTTTCTAGACTTTAGATCACTTCAGTTGGTTCAAACTGCTTGGCACAGGCCCTCATTTTCCAAAAGCAGCTTCCTCCCCAAAAGACATGGATGTACAGGGGCGGGTTATGAAGCTCAAATGTGGACAAATGAAGATATAAGCAAAGATGTGTATTAAGAGGAATTTGATGCTTTGAATCTTCCTTTAGCTTTTCAGCTGTGAGCACTAGTCAGGCTGGTACACATACCAGCAGAATTTGAGAGCAGGAGAAAGATCAGTAGTAACAAAAGGCAGCTGAATTAAGGTAGAAGCAGGAAGACAAGAAATCTCCTCTTGCCCGTCTTCTCCAGTTTCTAGCACTTACAGAAAGCTAAAGACATGGCCTCGGAGGTGAGAGCTCTTCCCTAATCCTACAGACTCCTGGGAATGCCTCTTTGATGGTGTCTTCGTCAGCATTGAAATTCACCAGCTCACTATCAGATTCAGGCAGAAATAGTTGCCTGTTGGTACACAGATCACTATGACTGTTTGGGAGTTTACAAATTCGAAGGAACAATGAGGCACTTTACGAGCTGCGACATTCCTCAGGGAGATCTATCACCTGCGGGACATTGATGACCACTCTTCATGTTTAAGGAGGAATGGGAAATTCCAGTCCAAAATGTCTTTTAGTTAACTGGGCGGTTTGTCCTTTAGGGAACTGTTATCAGAGCATTATTGGATCAGGGTAATTAGAATTACTCACCGAGCCCAGAATGTGGTAGGCTTTCCACAGGAGCGAGACAGGATCCTTCCCTGGGGAGTTCAGCGGTCTGTACAGACCAAAGCAGCGTGTTCGGAAGGACTGGCGATGCACTGGTGTAAGTGGTGGTCTTATTGCCATATGTGCTGTGTTTAGAGAGCAGAAGTCACTGCTTCCCAAATGATATATAACCTATGAAGTTTCAGTAGGTTGAATTTCTTTGGTTTGCTTCTCAGCCCACACACATTCAGGTCCGTAGCCATCAGGTGAGTGTGGTGGACATAAAAATTCTGTCTCCATCCTAATGTTGTGCTTAGTGATATGAGACACTGAGAAATATCACTATGTTGTTCTGAAGTTGTGCTGCTGCTTACAAGTAAGATGCAGCGATGGGGGTGAGCTTTGCTTCACTGTTCGTTTTAGTTTACTCAAGATCCATGTGCAGGAGCTCTCAGAGGTACGTGCAGATCCAAACAGTGTTGGTTTCAGGAGCTGACTGTCTTTCAACAGCAGCGAAGCACAGGGTTACACGTAAGTGCCTTGGAAATACAATGAGGTGTTGGGATTGTACTGAAGTATTTGGAATGCCTCCAGGCTTCGCCCATGCTGAAAGAAAGGCTTGCTGCAGACTCTTAAGGCATCAAGCAGATTCCTCTCCCCCAGTCCCACACATATCGAAGTGCCTGTCCGTGCCAGGATAAATCTGTGTCTTAGGGCTGGTGGATGTGCTGAGCAATACATCTGTCTGCAGACATGCACGAGCTGTGTGGTAAAGAGGGTGTTGAGAGGTGCAGCTCAGCCCTAGCTGCTTTAAGGTATTAATCACCAGAATATCACAGTGGCTGTGACATGCACTTCTGTGGGATTGAATCCATTATGGCTGCGACTCAATTGGCAATAAACTTCATGTAAATCATTGTCGAGTTTTTTCATGTGCTCCTTTTTATTTGTTAGAGTCTTTCTGGCAAAAATTTCTGCTACCTGTCTGTAGTGAGAATGCTGTCAGCATTTCAAGATAGAAGGTGCTGATGTCTGACTTCCCTTGATGGAAAAGAAACTTGCTCCAGTGCATTTTGGCCCCCAGAGATGGTATCAGTAAAATGACATAGAAAAGATCCCCCCACACACACCTGTTTATCAGCATTTTCGAAATACAGTCATTCTGGCAGGAATTCAGATCTAGAATGTATGAACACATTAACACCTTTTCTATAGCCCTTTTATCAGAGCTATTGTGTTCTCAAATAGGTCATAGAGAAAACAGAAAAAGGCAAGAAGTAACAAGAGAATTCTGCCTAGCCAAAAGTAATTTACTGGCTGCTGTTGCTGGGGCTTGCTGCAAAAGTAAAAATCATTTTGATAAGATGTTTCCTGTTTAAATAGACATTTGACTATGTGTCCTTTGGCTTTAAGGAAGTCTTAAACAAAATCCTTTCCTAGTTGCTTAGCTGTCTGGGTGGTTTTTATTGCTTTGAAGTTAGGCTTTATCTGCTGGCTTCATTCATAGGCTAGCTGGCTGCTTATCACATCTGTGGATCAAATCTTCAAAGGTTTTGTCTGAAGAGTTGGGATTTATGAGGTCACGTGGAATCCCCCTTGGAGGGCGTTCAGCCCCTGGCAGCAGAATTGTGGGGAAAAGCTTTTGTCTGTAGGTGATAGTGGCCGGGGAGGGGCTCTGCCATGCACTGGAGGTATGTGTGCGGTGGGGAGGTGCTGATAGCCAGGGAAGCGCTGGATTGCGAGCGCTGGCCCATTTTCAGCACGGAGCATATAGAGAATGTGGGAGACCAGAGCACATTCCTAGACACAGACTCACCGTGTTGCTGCTTCCAGTTAGAGCTGTGTGAAATGTCAGAAGGAATTAGACCCGTGCTGGAACTGACAAGTACATCGGGCTCTGCAGCACTAGGCTTCACTGCACTTTTACAGCCAGGCTTACAAACTGCACTGAATGGGGGAAAATGTTGGTTGGGGGTTTTTCCCTCTTCGGAAAGGTGGCTGCTTTTTAGAAGTTAAAAATATAAGACCAAAAAAACACCTCAAAACCCATCCCCAAAATCGGCCTGGCTTTCTGCTTACTTCAGCTGTGAGCAGCAGCTGTCAAATCCACAGCCAAGACTGCCTTGTTCCAGCCCCAAGCGTCCCTGGAACAGTGTGCCGGCTGAGACGAGCATCTCCAGGAAAAGCAATTTGAGTGCTGTTGCCTCTGGAGCACAGCATGGTTTTCAGGCTGTGTTCAGGCATGCCAGGCTTTGCTGACTGCACAAAAATGGGCGGGCTTGGTGCAGCAGCATGTGTTTGTTACGTTTCTGGGTGTCTTGCGAACAGCTTTAGCTGATGAGGTCACTAGAGATCATGTTTGGCTTGAGACGAGCACAATGATACAACTGTGTGTGCTGCGAGCAGGAGAGAGTGCTCTGTGCTGATTTATACCTCTCAGTTTCCATTCAGGAGATGAGATTAGGTTAAAGGCTTGTAACGACCTCTGTTAGAAGTGTTGGAAAGAAAGCTGTTTTTCCTTGGATGAAGCACACAGAGTTTCCTCCTGCAAGAGGATGAACAGATTGTAGGTACTGTGAAGGCAGTGTGACCCCACTGGCTGTGAGGGGTTCAGGAATGTATGCAGTAAACATTAGTTTGATGTGTTTGAAGATGAAGGGTAGTTGTCTTCCTTGGCTTCTCCATCAGAACATGCCACTGCTGCCAAGGAAGTTTCACGTGTATGTTCTTGGCTGTTGTTTTGGCCAAAGCTGCTATCTTTCAGCACTAAGTGCGCAGCTCCTCTTTGGGTCAGAGCTCCACCCCTGTGAAGGAGCAGAGCTCGTAGAGGCTCTGCAGCCGCAGCTCTCTGCCTGCCACGGCTCCTCCTCCCCTCCCACCCTTGGGTGGAACCAGGGAAGGGAAAACTTGACAATAGTTAGCAGGCAGCAGAGCTCGCAGGAGCTGTAGCAGCAGCATGTCCAACGAGCCTGGTTAGCAGTGATTCTGAGGCTGCTGCTGCTGCTGAGTGCAGGAGAAGATAGTTTGAGCCATGTGAGCCAGGAAAAATCTGGAAAGGAATGAGCATCCAAGCGACCTGGCATTCCTTGGGCAGCTTCAAAGAGAGGTGAAGTATCTGAATTAGCACAAGAGTAAATGAGCACTGGCTGCTGCCATGCTGGCAGAACAGAGCTCTTCAGACACAGTTGGACAAGTTCGTGGCTGAGCCGGTTTATCCAGTGTCGAAGATGGGAAGTTACTTCTCTGCCCCAGCCTACTTCGCTCGCAAGGATCCCTTTCGGTAAGTCTTGCACAGGATTAGCAGTGGACCTTCAGAATGGTGTTTTCCCTCCTGTGATGCTGTCCTAAGCAGGCAGTGTGTGAGGCTTGAAGAATGTGGTCCCGTACTTGTGTGCTGGAAACAACTGGCCTCAAACTGGGGTCCTGTATTGCTTTGAGGGGGCAACAGGGAAGATCCTTATTGCCAGCCCCTCCCCAGCCCTCTGGTTCGAGGGAGTGGCTCCTGCCATGAGGCAGTGTTGTTTCTCTTTTAGAGAGCACTAGGTGTGGCGCTCTAAGCCTGTGCCCCTCTGCTTTGCACACTGGCAGAGGAATGAGATTACTGTGGCTGCGACTTCTCTTCCAAAGCAACTTGTGCTTGGGCACAGCGCAGGGTGAGGTGAGGTGCTGGGAGGGAGTTCAGGAAGGTGATGTAATCTGCAGTGAGGCAGCGCATAATCCTGTTTGAGAAAAGAAACCAGGTACTTTGAAGGTAACTGGGGATGAGCAGCACACTTCCCTTACATGGAAAGGATTCTTCTCTGCTGTTTTGGTTTATTCAATTTTTATTCATTTTTGGTCCAATTGAGCAAATGAGGCGTGAGAAAGGCAATAGCTCCAGAATAAGGCTTTGATTGCATTGCATCTCCGTAGTGAGAAAAGTTAGTGGAGCTGAACACAGCCAGGCTGTGACTGACACTGATGTGCCGATAAGGTGGATGGATGGGGAAAGGCACAGTTTGCAGTTTCATTGTCATGTTCATCCCCTCCGCTCGGATTTGCTTGTTATTGATCCTGTTCTGAAAACACTTTTGTACTGATTTGAAAGTAAGGAAGCTTTTGTTAAAACAGACTAGGGTTGGAGTAAATACTCTGCACAGCTGCTAAGCTTCTTTAGGCAACTTTCTGAAACAGCATCTGCTTTCAGAGGAAGGAAAGTGAGCATTGACTGTTTGTAATATGTGCAGAGTATTATGCTAAGCCATAGATACACCTTCACCTAAGTGTCTGGAAATGTTTCCGCATAGTCAGAGTTTAAACACCCTGTCTTCTAGTAGTCGCTTTCCTAGCATCTGTTCTTCCTTGTCTAGTGTCTCTTGCATAGCCGGTGCACACACTCCTGCTAAGCCTGGGTGAGTAAGCCCTTGGGTTAGCTACAGGCTGGGGTTATGCTTTATTCTGCAGCTTTCTGCCTGCCTGACTGTGCTCTCCCTGCTCTGCCTGCAGAATTGGAGCCACAGCTCTTTCGAGCCTGTCTAGCGTTAACTGATCAGCCTGACAGTGTGTGAGGGGGGCATTTTGTTAATGAGCCCTTCTCAAAGAGATCTGTCTCTTCAGTGCCAGGGAAGTCTTTGCTTCCATGAGGGTATTGGCTTTCATTTAGCTGTAAAAGAGATGCCACATCAACTGAAACCAGGCTGGTTACCTGTTGCGACCTGATCCTCCTACCGCCCCCCACAAAACCAAGAGCCCATCCAGCAGCGATTTGTGCACTCTTTCTGCACCTGCTGTGCTACAGAGCATCGGCCTAACACTGCACCCAGATGCTGCCTGGGGTTCCTGGAGGATGGCTGTGCAAGGCAGATTAATTTATTCTCTATAGCCAAGGCTGGGCAGCAAAGAATCATAATGTCTGGTCTGTATAATCAGAGCAGGGTTCTGCAGCTGTGATAGTGGTGGCTGGAAACACATCAGGTATGGCTGTTGCCAGTCCTCCATGAAACTTGATTACCATGGTTTGTGACTCTGTAATAAGAATAGCAAATCATCCAGGAGAAGATTAGTGTTTTCTAATCTATAAAGTCAGAGGAGCATGAAATCTTCCTTTCTTTTGGTTGTAGTGACTGGCAAAGGTTAGCTTGCTTAATACTTGTAGCAGTAATTGTATTCCTGTCTCAGTTGATGCGAGTCCTGTTGCAATGCCACAGCTCTAGTGAGGAGGGAAAGGAAGAAGTGGTAACTCTTCTATTTTCTACGATAAAATTCTGACATATGTCTTCAATGAGAGCCGTGGAATAATCAAGTGATGCTTCTATCATTTGAGCAAAGGCACTGAAACTATACCTGTGTGCTGTCAGCCAGTATCCTACACCTGCCTAACCTAAAGCCTTTTCTGGGCTGCAGAATGCATGGTAAGTAACAAAGGTGTAGCTTGGCAGTATGGGCCGTAGCCATGTCCTGCTGCTGGCAGTGATCAATGGTGAAGCCAGTTAGACCCATTCCCTGGCAGTGATTAATGGTGAAGCCAGTTAGACCCATTCCCAGCATTTAGCCTCTCTGGGGCTGCTCTCTTTCTGTTGCCTCATTGCCCAGGGTGGGGTTCTGAGCCTTACGTTGCAAACTTGTCCTGCCCAGATTTGTTTAATTACATAGCAAAGACTTGACTGCTTGCATGCTCCACCTCCTTCACCTTTATTTTGCAATGGGTGTGTTCCAAATTTGATACCAGCGCTTGTTTCCGGATGGAAGCAAACGAATCAAAAGTGCTGTAAGGTTGGGATCAGACTGTGAAGAAGTAGAGGAAGGGTAAATGGAAGACAAATGTACATGATTCCACCTAAACAGACTCGCAGTTGTGTTGCTTTTGCATAAATTTTAGATTTTCATAGGGAGAAAAAGGAGTGATTGAAGGTGAAACTGAAGAGGGGTGAGGAAGGGAAGGTGGTGTGCTTAAAACCTAATAAATAAGTAACCCACTGTGGGGAGTGGCCTGGCTGCTTTCAGCAAGGCTCCACCATGTCTGGGCTAGTCAGGGGATGTGTTAGGACTTGTTGCCTGAGGGCCTTGGGAGGAGTAGGTGTGGAGATGGAAAGCGCTGCGTGCTGGCTCACCAGCCCCGAGTTGGAAAGTTGCTGGGGTGAAACAACAAGTTGTGCCTTAGGTTGACCAATTGGTACACGCCTAATGTTTAGAAGAAGCCAATCAGCAGGGAATATGCTAAGCAAAGGGACTATAAGGATTTGTGAAAAACAGCAATAAACGGACATGTTGGTTGCATCAAGCTGCGTCCCGTCTCTCCATCGCGGCAGCACACCTGCTAGGAGAGAACTTAGAAAACCAGGTCTTGCAGTCCAGGTAGAGCAGGCTCCAGCATTGCTGTCTGCATCCCAAGTGCAGGTCTGGTCACAGCTCCCTGTTTGGAGATGTAATCACTCCTGGAGCACACACTGGTACAGGCATGCATGCAGAAGTCAGATAAGTCTGAGGGATCCAATTTTCCCATGCTGAGCCAGATGTTCCTGCCATAAGATGATAGAAATCTTTGCAGTTAGTCTCCACTTGCTCTTTTCTCCCTCCCACTCACCTACTTGCTCATTCAGCATGGGGTATTTACTGCAAATGGAAGCCAAAGGCTAGTGGTTGAAGGCAAAATGCACTGCAGTGCCCTCTGGGTCTCTTGCATACCATGAGCAGGGTGTAACCATGACAGTGCCCCCAGGCTGAGGCTGTAGTGATGCATGTACCATCTATAGCAAATCTTAACTCACTGCTCCCTCTGCTTCAGACAAAATTGGCAGGGCCTGTTACTGGAGTTCTTTCCCATCACTTGGGGGGGGAGGGTGTAGGATTTGATGCTCCTCAGCTGGGAGAACAAACACTGTAAAAGCCAAATACATTAGAAGGAGCAATCTTCCTGAGGGTAGGGTATGGCATTAAATACTTCATGAGGTGTGTTTTCCCCTAAAACCAAAGGCTGCTTACAAGCAGCTTAACTTCGTTGCTTTGCAGTCTCTTGAGATGGAGCAAATAACTCTCCATGTTGGAGCATGACCAGCTTCACATATCATCACACTCATTACAAGCTGGTGGAGTTCACAAGGAATGTCTTTGGCACAAATAAGCTTCCAGGAAGCTTGTGAGAGGTGAAGTCAACAGGAGCTCTCATCTTAGCCTTGGCACCTCCAGTGCCACTAGCTAATTCCAGTGCCTTGGGTGCTGAGGGAGACCTGCTGTCTGGGAGGGCATGCACCCACCTGAACCCCCACCCCACTGCAGTGGTTCTCCTCCAGTGTAGTAACTGAGACAGGTGTTGGGCTAAGGGTCAGAAGAAACTCTTCCTTCTGCCTTTGGGAAAACATCATACCCATAACAGCACTGATCCACAAGGTGTTTCTTTGAACCAGTTATTGGTGACTAACCTGCCTTGGATTCCACACTCAGAAATGGGCAATGCCAGACTTATTTTCCTTTTAAAGTCTGAGAACATGCTGCCCAGGGCTAACAGAATAATCTTCAGTGATGCAACTGCTGTCTGTGCCTTATCTCTCCATTAAGTCACACCTCCACGATGCTGAAGTTAGACTCCCTTGCCCAGTGCATCCTGCTGAGGCAGGATTATTTTGTGTTCAGGAAGCCTGAAGATCTGGGTTCTGCTTGTGATTTGCTAAACACATATCTGCAGTAGAATTGCTGCATCTTTTGCCTTGTTTGTTTTCTTTTAGTTTGTTTTTATTGGGGAGGGGGAGTTTGTTTCTTGAGTGGATGTAGGTAGAGGATTAATAATGGTTGTTTTTTGAAATGGAAGCTGACAAAGATATGTGAAGGATTTTGAGACTTAATGAAATTGGAGAAATACTTTCATTTTGGGTTTTTTTGGTTGGTTGTGTGTGGTGGGTTTCTTCTCATGCACTGTGATCAGCAGAAAGGAGAGCAGTTGGTGGGGAGAGGTGGAGGACGTTCACCACAGTTAACTGGTGGATGCAGTAAATACATGGAGCTCAAGAGATGAACTGCTTTGAAAACTCTCCCTCAAATGCAGAGTGCTGCAGTTTACCTTTTGGGAGAGGTGTGCTTACAGAAGAATAGAAAAGCTTTCCACAAAGGTTGGTGCAAAACTGGCTTCGTGTTGCATAGGGAAGTGGATCCTCTTCCTTAAAGCAGCACTGATAAACCTACCAGTGTGTTTTAATGTGTGGGATTTGTTTTAAACTTCTTTGTACTGGTTGGTATCACCTCTCCTTACAAACCTTGGGTTTGGTGAGAATTTTCAGTTGAAAGAGCATTGGGAAGCAGAAGTGTTTATTACATCCATAACTAGAAGAGTGGTGGTAAACTGCTGCAGAATGTCTATGTTCTCCATGCGGGAGATGACATCTTTCATGGACTTGTGACTTGTTACCAACTGGAGCTTTGTTCCTCTGTTTCCTTTAAGGTGCTCTGAATGTCAGGATCCCCTCACTAACTGGTACTATGAGAAAGATGGGAAGCTGTACTGTCACAAAGACTACTGGGGGAAGTTTGGGGAGTCTTGCCATGGCTGCTCTGTGCTGATGACTGGACCTGTGATGGTAAGGACATGCCTGCCTCCAGCCCCTCACTCAGTTGGGAGTTGCCTTAGCTAGTCAGATAACCAAACAACCTGAAGGTAACAGTCTCCTTTGCTGCTGTAGTTGAAGATTAGAAATGAAGCTTATATGTACATCTTCTAGATAAAGATTAAATTTGAATGGAAGTAGCTCATGAAGGAGGGACCTGTGAGGAACTGAAGCATATGAACAAAGAAAGTAAAGTGCTGAAATGCACAGGCCTGAGAAGTAGAAAGGTGATTCGAGGGACATCTGGAGCACAGTGCCTCAGTGTCTCCATGGGGTGATTTTTCCACTTCACTGTGGAGTCAAACCTCTCAGCTCAGGATAAGCAGCAGGTTCAGGCTTTGGGGAATGTTGCCATCCAAGTCCCACCTAGGCTGTGGCCAGAGTGGTTTTTCAGGCTGATGGTGTGTTGAAGTAGTGTTAGCCCCAATTGCTTTGAAGCATTGAACTCTGCCTGCATAATACAGGGCTCTCCTAAATGTTCCCCTCCTGCCACAACCTTGCAAATATTTAACCTTTGAAACTGTCAGGAATGAAACATAACCATTGATTTTTCTAGGGCCTAAATAAAAAGCAGCATAGTACTCAGTAATTGCTACCCCAAAGGGAAGTACTGAGAAATTTGCGGACACTTTCTCATTGCTTGCAGAAGTCTTTGCAAAATACTGTCAATAAGGGAAATTCTCGTAAGGAAAATAGAAAAACAGATCAATGAATAAAAATATTCATTAAAGGTATTTTTTGTCTCAGTTTGCTTTTATTTTCTGTCAGCTGGCTGGTAAAGTATCTGAATCTGTGCATTGCCTGTGTGCCAAAAAAAAAAGCCATTTCAGCTTTATTAATTCAGGCATAACATTAGTTATCTGCCAAGAGCAGCTGAACAGGAAGGTTTAATACCTTGTTTACTAGTCTGCAGCAGACTATCAACTATTTTTAATAGCTGAGCAGCTGCCAAGTATAGCAGAGGCTCCTGAGACACGAGCTTTGCTCTGCGTGTTGACATGCTTGTTTCAGAGTTCTGCAAACAAGGTGCCAAGGATGGGGTTCAGGAGAGACAGAGTGAAGGAATGAAACCCTCCAGTACAAAACTGGCACGTGACTTTGAGATGTGAATAAACATGCTAATTAAAGAGAGAAGCAGGAGCTGCATCTGCTGATGGATTTTGGCCCTCCTAAGCTACTCCCTTTTCGGCCTGTAGGTGGTTGGCGAATACAAGTATCACCCCGAGTGCTTCGCTTGTATGAGCTGCAAAGTGATCATCGAGGATGGGGACACTTACGCACTGGTGCAACATTCCACTCTCTACTGGTAAGAGGAGCTGTGCTTTGCCCCAGAGCTCCCTGCTGTGTGTGTAAGCCTGTTCAGCTGGCTCAGAGGGTTCAGCTGAATGCATTCTGAGGAATGCCAGGTCACTGCCTTTTGAGGGAGGGACAAAGGAATGGTGTGAGCACTAAAAGCTACAGCGAGCAGTCAGTGAGAGAACTCACACGTGTGAGTTCGGCAGGATGGGATAGGACACTGCTATAACGACTTTCTTCACTTGTTTCAGTGGAAAATGCCATAACCAGATTGTGCTGACACCGATGATAGAGAAACACTCCACTGAGTCTCTGCGTGAGCAGCTGCCCTACACGCTGACCCTCATCTCCATGCCAGCAGCCACAGATGGCAAGAGAGGCTTCTCCGTGTCTGTGGAAGGTGGCTGCTCCAGCTATGCCACTAGTGTCCAGGTGAAAGAGTGAGTATGACCAGGTTGTGTGCAATGTCCATGCCAGAGGGAGCTGGTAAAAATCCTGCAGCACTGCTGTCCTGAGGGGACCTTGGCATTAAAGGGATGTACATTGGCTAATAGTCATTTGTGTTTGATCTCCAACTCAGTCCTGTGACAGCCTTAACTGATAATTTTATCTCTCAGTGCTGTTTCCTTCACTGAACACACAACATTTGGAGAATCATAATGGCCCAACAGTTTTGCCATTGGTCATATGAAGAGCTCTCTGCAAACCAGCTCAGAGCTAAGCACTTGGTCTAATGATAGCTCACTGCGTTGGTAGATTAACATTGGTTAATTTCAAAATACCAATATGAAGGGAAGCATTTTTTTTGATAATTTGATGAAAGTCACTTCACACACACACACTGCAATTCCTGTGTTTAGAGTTAACAGGATGCACATCAGCCCAGATGTCCGAAACGCCATCCACCCTGCAGATCGTATCCTGGAGATCAATGGAGCTCCTATTTGTACGTTACAGGTGGAGGAGGTGAGTAGAGTTCTGTTCTGAAACCTCCTTCTCCTCTGCCTTCCTACACTTTCTCTGTTCCCTGACGCGATTCTCCCGCCCTACATAGTGCATACACCCATAATACTCGTGCTAACAG